ATCGGAAGGCAAATCGGATCATCTTTAAATTAGATCAGAGTTTGTGCATCTGCCTTGTTTGCTGCAGGACCCTGGGCTGGTGAGGGTTGTCTGCAGCAGCAGAATGACAGGGAACATGTAGTGGTGGAGCAGAGTGGGGCAGGAGAGGCTGAAGCTGGAGGGTGCTGGGTTTGAGCTCCCACACCCCACCTGTGTGTCCCCAGCCTTACAGGGGATATGGGGTCACCCACTGACATGTCCATAAGGGACAAGATCTGCCTCAGTGGCACAGAGCAGCAAAACCTGGGCTTAAGAAGGGTCTGCTCCTTTGCTGTCAGGTTGGGACATGCCATGGTTCAGACTGCAGTGCAGATGATAGTGATCCATGTCCAGGGTTGTTCCCTGGAAGAACTTCCTTGGGCATGCCCTCTGTTTGGGATCCATCAGTGGATCCATGGCCCCACTTGCTGGGAGCTGCCTGTTTGTAGCTGTGGCATACTTGGCTGTTCTCTCTTCTTGGGGTCTTTCTCAACTGCATTTATCTGTGGTTACCTGAAACATGCTTTTATGTGAGATTTTCTTACCACCACTCTGTCAGGTGGATTCTCCAATGTCTGGTTTCAAGGCTGAGCTGATAAAGCAGCTCATCTTCTCTTTCCTCTGCCCAGTTACCTGTATTCATCCTGCTTATAGGAGTATCAGCTCTTTCAGCCCTTCATCCTCATTGACTGAAATTTGCCGTGGGACTTAAAAGCAAGGGGACAGAGTGATGGGAAAGGCCAGAAAGGATCATACTCATCATCAAAGGCTGGGGCAGGGAGGATTTCCTCACATTTCCCTCCACATGCTCACTACTCCCTCTTGCCCCACACAGTTGCCTTCATCATCGACCTGGACAGCGACACAGCTGACAAATTCATCCAGCTCTTCGGCACCAAGGGGGCCAAACGGGTGCTGTGCCCCATCCCCTACCCAGAGAGCCCCACCCGCTTCATCAACTGCGAGCAGGTGCTGGGTTTGAACCTCATGAACAGGGGCAACTACTACTGGGAGGTGGAGCTGATCGACGGCTGGGTCAGCATTGGGGTCATCGCCGAGGATTTCGACCCGCGGGAGGCCTACAACCACGGCCGCCTGGGCAGGAACGACAGGTCCTGCTGCCTGCAGTGGAACGGCCAGAACTACGTGGCCTGGTTTGGTGGCTTCGAGTGCGCCATCCAGCAGCCCTTTTTCCACACCATTGGCGTCTTCCTGGAGTATTCAGAAAAGGCTTTGACCTTCTACGGAGTCAAGGACTCCAAAATGACCTGCCTGCAGCAGCTCAAGGTCTCCCCTCCTGCCAAGGGGAAGCTTGACCCATTCCAGAACAAGATCAACCGCCAGTTTGCCTCTCTTTTCTCGTGCAGGCTGAAGCCAGCCTTTTTCCTGGAGAGTGTGGATGCCCACCTGCAGATTGGGCCGCTGAAGAAGGACTGTGTGTCGGTGCTGAAGCGCCGGTGACTGCCCACGGAGAGGGGCACGGACACACGCACAGAAGTCTCTCCTGCAGGTTACTGCCACCTCTCCTTGGTAGCCCTGTCTGTCTCTGTGGCAGCCCTCCCTCCTCTCTGCACTGTTGGGGACCCAGGGCTGGATGAAGCCTCCTGATGGGCAGGGCTGGGGGCCAGGATGGGGCTGGATCCGAGTGCCAGCTGTGCCACTGAGTGAGCTTGGGCGAGTCCTGTGCTGCTCCCTGCCCTCAGCTTCCCTTTCTGGACATCAGGGACTGCGACAGCCTTTCTTGGTAAAGTGTGCTGCTCAGAAGTGCCACATGGATTTGGAGCTGTGCCTTGGCCACCTGCCCAGTCCCTCTCCTTCACCTCTGCTTGCTCTGCCCCGGCAACTTGTGCAGATGCTTTGTGCCTTTTCTCAGGCTCTGTTGCTGATGCTTTTTTAAGTGCTGCCTCTTCGACACCTTCTGCATGCTCCCCACGAAGTGCCTTTGCTGGAGCAAGCCCTGTGTGCACCAGGTGAACCCTCAAGGCAGACGTGGTCACTTCCCTGGTGCCCCATCACTGCTGTGCCCTGGCATGGGAGAGATGGTGCTCTGGGAGAGGGATGTGGAGGAGCCTGGCTGGGTGCTGGGGTGATGCAGCTCCTCTCTTTGCACACCCATTAGTGCTGCAAATGTGAAACAAGGATCTCTGCCCAGTTGGGAGAGGGAGAAACCTCCTGCCGAGAAGCAGCACCACTGGGCTGAAAATCTGCCCCTTAGCTTAGAGATTTTTAAGTGACAGAGGTGCTGTGAATGTGCCCCAGAGATAAATGGTCTGGTTTAGTGTTCTAGGGACAGCTGTGAGTGTCTCAATAAAGGTGCAGCACCAGTCAGCTACTAAACGACCCTTTAGGCTCTGGGAATAACAAGTAACAATTAACAAAAACTACTCTCAAGCGAGAGGGAACACTGTTCCCTTCAGGAAAGGTGGAAACTCGAGGCTGAGAGACAAAACTGCCAGTTCACATGTCCTAAGGGAGCTTTTTCAGAAGGAAAACATAGAAATACTGCCTGTGAGGGTGGCACAGAGCAGCTCCTGTCTCAGCACAGTGTGCCTTTCCACAAGTTTATTTTTTCTGGGGTTATTTTGCTACCTACCTCCCAAAGCTTGCTTTACAGAACTGTGGTGCTGTGTAATATACACCTGGAGAGAAAATACAGAGGGTCAGGTTCTTCACTGGCATGAGTGAGTCAGGGATGATGCAACAACCATCAGCAGGGATAATAAACAGCCCATTTAGCTAAATATATGATTTATTTTTTTTCCCCCCAAAGGATAAACTGGAAATGATAGTGCTATATTCAAGTGGAGCCAAGGGAAAAATGTGAACGTGAATAAAAGGCAGGCACAAAACTGGGAGGTTTGAAGTTAAAGCCATGGTTACATCTAAAACCACATTTACATGCTGAGGCTCAAAGAGTTCCTTTACTGTGACTCCTTTTCCTGTACTGCCAATTTCTGCTGGTGCAGAAAGAGCTGCCAGTTGCCCTGAAAATTAGGATATTTGAGTGGCTGAAGGGTCTGAACACAGCCACCCCTTCCCCGGGGCTAGGCTGGTGAGTCAGTTTGGGAAGGGGCTGCTGGCATCTGTCTGCAAATTCCTTCTCCTCCTCCTCCCCTGCATGAGGTGACTCCTAAACTGCTGCAAGCAGTGGGAAAAGGAACAGTAGGGCTTCCAGACTGAAATCTTCAGCTGAAATCTTGGCCTTTCCTGGCTGGTGGGAATGCTGCCCAGACTTCTGTCCGGATGGGAATTCATTCCCTGCATCCTGAGCTCCAAACCCTCTTTGTTTAGCTGGCGCCAGCGGCCCCTACAGAGCTCAGCCCTAGCACGAGATGTCAGCAGTGACACAGAGCAGGCGTTGCTGCTGTTCTGTGCACACAGGGAGAACGTGGTGTCACCAGTTCCTGATGGGATGAGAAAGGTAGAGCCATGCCACAGCCTCTGCACGGTCACATCCTGGGAGGACGAGGAAGGGAAGGAACCTTAATCTCTGCAGGAAGAGATTTCCCATGTGGGCCCACATCTGTGCCCTAAATCTCATTTATTCAGGCTAAACTCCCACAGTTTGCAGCGAGGAGTTTTGCCAGAGTAAACACAGCAGATCTGTTTGCCCTGTTTCATTTCACCATAGGCGGATTGATTGCTCCAAGGGGAAACCCACACTGGAGCCATGCATCCCGCCCTTCTCCACTTTCCCAATGCACAGACACAAACCTCTGACCTCCTTTGGGGCCTGGGAGGCTCAGAGGGATCCTCTCTTTCCACCCTGTCACCTGTGGGAGCAGCTCAAGAGGCTGCTGGGGTGTCTGGGCATGGTGTGTGGTTGTGCTGCTGCTGTGGGTGGATTCATGGATGCAGCTCCACATCTGGGGGGTCCCTTTGGATGCGCCACAGCTGGAAAGTACTGCCCGACCCTCTCTTTCCTGCTGCTTGCTTTTATCCTGGTAGGGAGTGCTAAAACCCCTCCTGGTTTAGGGATGATTTACAATAGGAGCAATCCCTTCAGGAGCTGGGTCAGAGTTTGCTCTGTGCTGCCAGTAATTTGTAAACTGGAACAATCAGGGAGTGTGCACTGCACCAGCTCTGGATCCCCGATTCTGCTGTAAACAAAGGGTTAAATGCAGGGTGAGATGGGTGGAGATGGATCGATAGCACTTGGCAGTTTAAACAGCCTTTCCTTGTTCCCTTGGGTTATTTCTGCTGTCACAGAGTGTTCCTCTTTTTAATTAGGATTTTTTAAATACAGTAGGGTGTTTTACAGTGTGAAAAAAACTGTAACAGAATAATATAATGGTGTTAGAGACTATGATTTGACCATTAAATATGATACAGTCATTGCCCTGCGTTGTCTTTCCTTTAAATACCAATTTAAATACCATTTGAGTTGTCCCATATCTTATGTTTATTTTTCTGTGTCCTGTACATCTCGCATAAAATAACACAGATTTTATTTTCCAAGTGTGTCCATGGGAATTCTTCCACACATTTTTGTTGCAAAAGGAGCAGAAGAACCTTAAAATCCAATAGTAATTGTCACTCCTGGGGAATTAAAAACAATGAATTGTCTCAGTTCTCTCTTCTATGCCTGTCCTCATCCTACAAATAAAAAAGATTATCAGATTACATATTTTTTCCTTAGTGTTTTCAAGTTTTAATTTCCAAGGTTTTCTGTGTGATGATATGAGGTCTAGAGCTTCACACACACACTAGCAATTACAGTAGCATCTTTTTTAAGGGAAGACTGCTTTTCTTAATCCCAAATGTCAACTGGAGTTAGGATAAAAAGGTTATTTGGTGAGCCTTAGTTCATGCAAAGTGCCAATGCTCCATCTGGGTGTTTCAGTGGAAGCTGAGTGGATTCTGCTCCTGACTTTAATAGGAGAAGAATCAGAACTGTTTGTTATGACTGTTTCTTAAAAGGGAAACTTACTGCTTATTGGAAAAGCGGATATGAAAAGCACAAACTTGTTCTTTTCCTGCCAAGAAACCGTACAGATTATGTCATTGCATTTATTTAAATCTGGTTTCCATTATGTCGTTTTTCTGCTTTCCCCCCCAGCCTCATCTGGTTCTCAGGCACTCACACAGGACTGGGCTGCAAATCCAGGGAATAGCTTAGATCCATCTAAAAAGACATAATAGAGACATAATATATACTCTTATTTATATATTACTGATATACAGCTGTCAGTTACTGACCTGAGGGAACCCTTCAAACAGCGATTAATTTTGCAGGGTTCCTATTTTTAATGAAGTTATGCAATCTTTTTTTTTTTTTTTTTTTTTTAATTCCTCCTACTTGCACGCCTGGAGGCAAGAGTTTAGACCCCTCCTGCAGATCTGCAGGTGCCACAGCTGTTTTCTTGCTCCCATATTCCTGACAGAGGGACACACAGACGCGGTCCTGCTTTGTTTACAGCTCAACCAGTCAGTCCTTCTAGTTTAACACACATCAGAATAAAGGGGTGATTCTTTGGATGTGCTTGATTCCATCACTGAAAGCAGCCAGTAACAGGATCAAAAATCGGTATGCGAGTGTGCGAAGCAGGAAACGTGCATCAAGTGGGAATTTATAGACTCATTGGAAATGGAAAAAGAAGGAGAATAGGACAACACCGCAAATCTTCCGTGTTGTCTCTTACTCACTAATATAGCTTAAACCCTAAACTCTATCTTTCTCACCCAGTGACTTAATATAATTCTATCAAATTTACACACTCACATTCTCAGTTTCTCTACTTAGTTCTTGAAGTTTTTTCCAGAGTTTTAAGTTAAACTCAGTGCTCTCTTGAGCGTCAGAGCCTGTCAGCACAGATAAGGGAATATTTCCTGCGCCTCCGACTCCAACATGAAGCATCTTTGCTGTTTAAGGGGCTAAATCTCATTTCATGTGAAGAACCGCCAGCTATCCGGGATTATTTTTATTTTACTCCACCAAACAGCTGTATTACAGAAAGAGAGGATGCCAGGCCCTGAGGCGGGGAAAGGGGGGCTTCATGGCGGCCGGCCTACAATTCCCAGCATGCACCGCGCGGCTGACACGGAGGGTGCTAATACCGAGCATGGACGGACTACAGCTCCCGGAATACAGCGCGTGGGCAAACGGCACGGTGCTAAGGTGGCGTAAGGGACACTACAACCCCCAGCAAGCACCGCGCGGAGAAACTGAAGTGACACATACCATTGATGGCGGTGACTACAACTCCCAGCATGCCTCTAGGTCCCATAGACGGCAGCTGCTTTTTCCCGCGCAGGCGCAGAACGGGGTCGATGCTGTGAGGAGGAGGAGGAGGCGGCGATGGCGCTCAACAAGAACCATTCGGAGGGCGGCGGCGTCATCGTTAACAACAGCGAGAAGTGAGGTGCTATCCCCTTCTCCCCTCCTCCGGCCTCGGGAGCCGGGAGCCAGCGGCGAGTTGCCTTCTCTCCCCGCCCTCCTCCTGCCTTCCCCCTCAGGGGGAGCGGTTGTGTGGGTCATGGGGGGGCGTGCTGAGGGGGCGAGGCGGGTAAAGGGGGTGGTTTAACACTCTCGGTGCCGGCGTTGCTCGTCCTCCCCTCATGTCCCTACGGTTTAGGGGCTGTAAATATCCCCCTGCCCCAGGGCCTGTGCCGGGGGAGCTCTGCTGGGCTTCAGCCGCGGGCCTTGCCTCCCTCCTACACCGCTTCCCTCAGCATCCAGCGTGTCCCCCAGCCTGCTGCTGTCCCCAGCCTCTCCCCCGAAGGCTCAGGAAGGGCTGGCAGAGCTCAGCTCCCGCCCAGGTGATCTGGCCTGGAGCCAGGCCTCCCCCCTCGGGGATGCTGCACCTGCATCGTGCCTCAGCTCAAAGGCTGTCCGCTGTGGTCTGCCAGGTTCCTGGAGCACAGCTCCCTTTCTGTGTGTGCGGGAGGGAGCAACAGTGTTGGAAAAAGGTGCTGGGATATAACCATGGAAACGGCAAGCCTGCACAGAGCTGCCTCTGTGTGCATGGCAAAGGGCTGTCCGCACCCGCTGCCTGCCAGCGTGGTTCTGACGTGGCAGTCATCTGCTTCGGGGACAAAGGAGTGCTTCTTCCTCCAGCGCCTCTTTCCACGGGGCCACTTAAGCATTGCTGCAGGAATTCTGTGCCTGACTTCCACTTGGGACGTGGCATTTCTTAGACGGCTTTAGTAGGATCAGTTCAGGTACTTAAATTTGCATTCCCTGAGAGAACTGCATCAGCTGAAGGTGTTGCTATTCCCAGCTGTCAGCCTGACTTGCGTCAGGGCCTGCCTGTCCCTGGGTTGATCCAGCTGGTATTTACTGGCAAATGACTGAGGATGGAAATACGTCAGCTGCCAAAGATAGAGGTGGTGGAGATTTCTGCAGCTTTAGGGATTAGAGTCCCTGATGTGGTGCTGTAGTGTCAGTACAAGTTACCTGCTGTGTCCATGCAAAGGTTTTAATGAGGTCAGTTTGTAATTGAGAATTAAGGAATCAGTGCAGGCAACACGAGTTAATGAAGTCTTTTGGCAAGGAAGGGGAGTTCCTCTGGATCACATTTTTGTGTCAGAGGTGCTTGAGCTGTGGTGAGACCTTCAACAGCCATGTTGCATAAGCCAGCCTGAGCAGTTTCTTCTCCTGCAGTTCTTCCTCTGTCATGTCACTTGGGGACAATTGAATTAGGGAACTGATCCAGCAGAAATGCAGAACAATTTCAAACAAACAAACCAAAACAAGTCTTGAGATTTTGATCAGCTCCATTGACCGGGTTTGCTGCCTGGTTGTGCAGACAGCAGCAGCAGCAGCTGTGTCAGCACACTGGAAAGGGAACAAGCAGCCAGTGCTACTTCAGTTGCTGCTGCCAACAACAACAACAAAAAAAAGGCAAACCGGAACTGATTTTGTCTGCTCAGCATGTCCATCAATGCTGAGGTTACAGGTGGTTTTGGTAGGTCAGCAAACTTCTGTGCGTGCTGCACTTCTGCCTTGAGCTGTAACTCCTGTCTCTTCTGTCGCCGTTTGCAGTGTTTTGATGACCTATGACCATGTAGAAATTACCTTCAGTGATCTGGAGCCGATGCCAGAGGCCTTCAAGGGGACCAAGAAAGGGAGTGTTTTCCTGACTCCCTACCGGGTGAGCGGTGAAAGGCTTTATCTCCTCTAAGGAGATAACAGCCCTGGACTCTGTATTTAAATGTCCTCAATGCATGAAAGTCAGGATAATCTACTCCTGCTTCAAGTGTGGCTCATCCTCTCCCTCTGGGAAGTATTATGAATCATGGCATATCCCATCTATTTGTCAACAAATAATAAATCTGATTAGTTCTTGTACAGGCAGCCTGTTTAGTCCATCAGGCATCTTCGAACTGGAAATTAGCAGTGGTCTGGAAATGCTGAATGCAGCAGCACAGCTACTAAATCATAGCTGTGTGGAGTAGCAGGTTCTCTGGAATCTGGGAGGAGCATTAGCTGAGCAAGGGACTTCCTGGAAGGTTTTACTACCTTGAGGATTTGGTTTACCCTTGTGGCTGTTGTGTGTAGCTTTTGGCTTGTGGAACTGGTGATTTGGGAGGGGGTTTCAGTCCATGGAGGAGTCTGTTCATAAAATAAATCAGGGCTGTGTTTCCTGTTGGTTTTGAATAGCTGTTGTAATGCTATTTTCTTTTCAGGTTATTTTTGTGTCGAAGGGGAAGGATGCTATGCAGTCATTTGTGATGCCCTTTTATTTGCTGAAGGATTGTGAGATTAAGCAGCCAGTGTTTGGAGCAAATTACATCAAGGGCACAGTGAAAGCAGAAGCAGGAGGTAGGTATTGCATAGGGTATGTTCTGTGTCTCAGTTCAGCTGCTCAATTCATAGCAAAATACTGGCTAACCAAACCTTGACACTGTCCAAATGGGTTTTCACACTCCTGCAAAAACGTGTTTCTTACATTGGCAGCTAAAAATATTCCCATTACCAGCTCCCTGCTCAGTTACAATGAGCAGATGTGCTCTGCAACCCATCCCATTCCTGCCCTCTTCAAAATAGAAAGTTCAAACAAACAAGTGATCTCAGCAAATAAACATCAGAGTGCAGTCAGCAAGAATGAGGATGTAATTTTGCTTTGGTCACTTGGGATCACCTATCCCACCTGCATCCAGGTTCTCCTGTGCCAAAAGCTCAGATCCTTTCTGGCTCTGGGTTCAGGTGCAGATGCCCAGAGCACTTTCTCCATTGTGTTTCTTGTGCAGCTCAAGGACAGGTGTGCTATTGCTGTAGTGCATCCTGGCAGTGAAAACAGCACTTGGAAGGAAATGGACTGTCTTGAAATCAGGGAATTTAAGGAGCTGTTTCACTTTAAACTCAATGAGAAGGCTGTGGCAGACATTTTCAAGGATAATTTTGGTTTTGACTCTTTTTTTTTTACCAAAGGCACAGAGTTCAGCAAACTTTCATCCTCAGCTTGATTCAGTCTAGTAGTTATGGCACAGAAATCACAGCACAGGGTGTAAGAGCCTTCAGCTGGAGTTCTGAAATCAGCATTGTAGCTTCTGCATGGGAGCTGAGTGGGACCATCCAACATGAGAGGGAGCCTGAGCATTAACAATAATAACTGTGTGAAAGGCAAAAGGCTTTAGCTAAATCTTTGTTAATTTTTCCCAGAGGCCATCTCCTTTAATGATGATGTTGTCTTAAAAGCCATGAGAGTCTGGTTTAGCTTAAAAGGCTCTTTAATCTACTTGTGTCTGTTTCAGCACAGCTTCTGCTTTGATGCTTTTTTTGGGACTCTGGTCTGTGCTTATTTTTCTTTTTTATACTGTAATGTGAGATTTGTTGTTTAATTATTATTTATTCTGACTCAAAATATCTTCCATGGGCTCTAATGGATTTATGTGGACCATGTTTTTCATTAAGCTCTTTGCTTTGTTGGGTACTCAGACTCCCAAACTAATTTGGAGATGGCAGTTAGGTGTAGTTGCAAAGGCTTTTTAGCAAACAGCATTAACAAAATCCCTGTCTTCTGCACTAATCTTATCCAAAGCAAGAGTAAATCCAGCACTCCTGATAGCTTGGCCTGTGACAGCTACTGTGGCAACAGCCACAACTCCAGAAATCTTTTGAAGCTCTCCCTCGTGGATGTTTCTGCTTCAGGTGTCTCTTGACCTGACAATACCCCAATGTGAATTTTTCTGATGATACCATAATTCTGCCACTTCCTCTGCTTGTTTTTTTTTTTTTAATTTGAATTTTTGGGATAAGCTTTTTAAAGCTCTATAAAGAATTACGTAGAGAACAGCATGCAACCTAAATAGCACGGAAATGGCTTCTCCTTGCTCCTCAGTGCTGTCTTTCCTCCCTCAGGTGGCTGGGAAGGATCTGCCACATTCAAGATGACGTTTTCAGCTGGGGGTGCAATCGAATTTGGGCAGCGGATGCTGCAGGTGGCATCACAAGGTATGGAATATGGAAGTCTGGGGGTGACTGCCAGAGTTCTGTGGTTTCAGGAGCCCTTGTCTGAAGCTTGCTTTAAAAAATACTTTTTTCACATCCAACAAGCAGCAGATTTATTGGGATGACACTTCCTTGTTTTTCCTATAAGGACTGTCAAAGTTTGTTGGAGTTCTTGGCCTGCATTTGAGACAGGCTTGATGTTCTGATGAGGTCTTTTCTTTGCTTTTCCAGTCTCCAGAGGTGAAATCCCCAGTGGAGCTTATGGCTATTCCTACATGCCAAATGGATCCTATGCTTTTGCACCACCTGCAGCTAATGGGGGCTATCCATACCCACCTCCTCCTCCAGGTAACCCTGGGAACTGAGGCTGGGGATTGTTCCAGTGAGTAAGAGTTAAAATAGGTAAAAAGGGAAAGAACCACAGATTTTACACAGTGTTTTAGTGATGACTTGTGTAGCTTTTGTTCCTGAGTTTAATTACATTTACCTTGGCTTCTTTTGGTTGATAACTCCACCCAGAGGAGTTAAGTCTCTTGCTGTGTGATCTTTCCTGACAGACTTTTATCCTGGTCCTCCTGCGGCAGATGGAAACATGGGCTACATGCAGCTTCCACCCCCACCATACCCAGGGCCCATGGAGCCCCACGTCAGTGGCCCAGACCTGCCCTCCACTCCTGCAGGTACGTGCATGTCCAGGTGAATGAACTCACAACAGTTTTGTTAGGAATGAAACAGACTTTTTCCTTTTGGGGAACTTTGAAGCTCCACTTAGAAGTTGAAATTTGTTTAGAAAAGGGATTAGGGAGCTCCCCTAATCTCCAGCCTTGTATATCCAGCTCAGTCTGGAGTCCAGCCTGATTCTCTTCAGGGAAGACATCATTAGTGGGCATTTTACAGATGGATTTATTCTTCTTTTGACAGAAAAAATACAGTTTGTGATTTTCCTGTTGTGGTAATCTTGCCCTAATGGATAAATAAAAGGAAACTGATGGTGAAGTGTGTTTGTGGTCCATTTTAGTTCACAACTCTGGCTTTGGTGGTATTTGTTCCCCTTCCCCTGTTTCACTCTTAATGTGATTGTTTTTGCTGAAACAATATGAAACGGGAAGAGATGATGGAAAGGAGTTGGGGAAATATCAGCTTCATTTTTCACTCATTTGGGATTTATTAAAATGAAAAAAGAGCTGTTGTGGTTGGGCACAGCCATAGATCTGTTGCAGATAAGAATATTTGTTTGGATAAGGATTTAACTTTTCTCTTTGGTTTGAATAAGCAACCATTCATCTTTTGAACTATTATTTGGAAGCTGGCACTGCTCCAGAGGGTTGTACAAGATTTCTGTGTTCTGCAGAAATGGAGGATCTGGATTATCCTCATAAATTACCGTCTTTAATACATGAATTCCCTGAGCTGCTATAAACTTGTGCTGATTTTTGTTTTGCCTGTTGATTTCACTCCCAGGAAGGATGGTTTGTTCACTGCTTTTTTATAAAGGATATTGTCTGTATTTAGGCAAGGCAGCAGCAAGCATTTATTTATGGCTGACATGCAAGTCCCAGGTGACATTTCCAAACTCCATCTTCCTCTGTTTCACTGGGAATTGACAATTCTGTGGTAACTGGAAGAGATAATGCTCAATTGTTTGTTGTAGCTATTTTGCAACTTGAGCCCTGCTCATAGGGTGCTCTGTTAGTAACTCTTGATGGCCAGGAGTCCTTGTTTTATTGTGAAGAGTTCTCTGTGTGTCCCTATCCTGTCACTTCTCTCCCTGTGACAGCTGAAGCCAAGGCTGCTGAAGCTGCTGCCAGTGCTTACTACAGCCCAGGCAACCCCCACAACGTCTACATGCCCACGGTGAGTCCCTGTTGCTCTGGGCTTGCAGGGGAGCCCAAGTGTGTGTCTGCCAGATCCTCTCTCATTGGCACAGCAAAGCTGCTCTGAATTGATGTTGGTGTCTTGGGTTTTTTGGGGGATTTGAGTTTACTGTTTCATTCTTAGCCATGCACTGATGTCCTTGTGTCATCTCTATTGCAGGACCAGCCACCCCCTCCTCCATACTTCCCACCAGAGGACAAGAAAAACCAATAAGTTGACACAGAACTTCTCCATGACTCATTGCTTTCTTTTTTTCCATTTTGGCAGAATTCTGGGGCACAATCCATAGCACTGAGGAGTAGAGCCTTCCCCCAAGGCACACTGCTTTCAGGGGCTCTAGGAGTAGGTTTGTGCAGAGCAAGGGGAGGGATTTTGACAGCCTGCGTCACCTGTGGAGCTCTGAGGGTTTGCTGTCCTGCAGCACTCCCTCCTCCCTGTGCACAGCATTGCTACACCTGGGGGTTCTCTTCATCTGTGACTGCTTCCCTTAGCTCTGTTTCTTTTGATACTTAAATTATACTGCTTTAGAGTCAGCATCCTCAAAACTGCTAATGAACATGATCATGACATGGAAACAAGGCTCTTGGGGGTGGGAGGTGTCCTGAGTTTTCCCTTAGTGTGCATCCAAGAGCACCTCTGGACACAGGGATGCCTCTGGTTGTTCTTTTTAATCCAGAGTGTCACATCCAGCTCTTTGCTCTTGAGAAAGGACTCAAAGGCAACCTTTGGGATCTGAAAGGAAATACACACCTATGACATTTTTCAGATGTATATTCAACTTTCTTGGGTTTCTTTTTGTTTTTAGTCTAAGTCATTCCTGACAATCATAGCAAATAATCTGGTAGCCCTTCAAGTTACCCTGCTGTTCAACATGTATGACAGTACTGACCAACTTCTCTTCCTTAGACATGCTGCTCCTCACAGGGTTCTCCAGTAGCATCTGACCAGTTTAGATCCCATGGGAACACTGATGTTTCTGCAGTCTCTGTTTTCCAGTTAGATGAGCTCACTAAGTCCTGAACATTCTCCTCATAGTCTGTAATGCACTTTTGTTTTTCCTTTGTTGTAACACAAGTTACACTTTTTGGCCAGTGAAGCATTTTCCTGCTGTGATTTACCTGGTGATTTAACACCTAATGGGCAGAAAGCAGTTGCTTTATTTCTGTCCTGGAAGCACTTGAGAGAATATGCAAAACATTGGAATAAGCTGTAAGGTACAAAGTGTTGTTTATTGCTGTTTGTGTTCCTGGTCCAGCTGTGAATTCCCAGTCACCCAAACACAGACTCCTCATAGCATTGACTCCTTGGTTTCACTAGCAACAACTCCAGTGCAGAACCTCTGCAGGACTGATGAGAACCTGGGCTGTGAAACTTCTGCATTGTACAAAGCTTTGCACAAGTCACACTTCTGACAGCTGTGAGAGAAAATCCTTCCCAGCAAAGTGTGACAAGATCCTGTGCTAGGGAACTGCTGAGACTTGCTGCATGCAGCCTGCTCGGAGAGAAAAAAGGTCCAACTCTTGTTTTCTTCTTCTTTGAGTTTAGCTGTTAATGAAATTGCTACTGTTTGTGCACTGACTTTTCTAAAATTGCTACTGCGGTGATGTAAAGAAATGGTTATTTAAAAAAATATTTATTTTGAAAGCATTTGATTAATATATTAATGTGAAATGACTTTTGAATGCAGATTTGTTTTGCCAAGACTGTGAAGTAAAGAGAAATCAGCTCAAAACTTGGGTGTTTGGTGTGTGTGAGTGGGCAAACTTCTGATGAGTTGGTGGCTTTGGATGCAGAGATCATAAAAAACACTTGGATTTTATATTTTATTAGTAGAAGCAAAATCAGTTGGCTCTTCACTGGTGACATCAGTTCTTGATTTGTCTCAGGTGACTTTGGGAATGAAAATGTTAAAATGCTTCAGCAAACTCCCATCTCACAGTTCCTGTTGGAAGCTGGTGCAGCAGCTGCTTTACCCAGATGTTTCACCCAGGTTGTTTTTCCAGACCAGTTGTCCTCATAAAAGTTACAACTTGTTACTATTTTACTTTGCAAGAACTAGCTCAGCAATGCAGCATAATTAATGCATCTAAAATATGTCTAATTAGAGGCAAGCCACAGTTTGACCCTTTTTATCCTCAGTGTGCTGAGGTGCCTGGATAGTTGTGCCCAGTGAGGTCGCAGCTGTCTCAGGTGTGTTCCCCCTGTGCTCCTGTCCCTGGAAAAGCCAGGAGTTGTGCTTTTCCTCACTTGGCAGGGCAGGACAGCAGTGTTCCACATGGGACCAGGTCCTGCTCAGTCCCCCTGGCTCACACTCACACCTGTCAAACTGGAGGTACCCAGAAGCTGCTCTCCAGGTATCATCCAAACCTCACTTGGTTCATTCTCTTCCCAGCAGCTGCTGTGGGTGCTGTCATTCTCTTGAATTCCCTGACCAGCCAGCAGAGACATCTTCCAGATTCTGCTCATTTTTAGATCCCTTTTTTCCTCTCACATCCTCCCACATGGCTGTTCGACTGCTCTTTAAGCCTGGCTGAGCCACTTGGGTTTGTTTTCTGTAGAAGAGGTGGCTGATGGAGGAAAGCATTGAGACAAAATTTTACAGTCCAGTAGGAGCTGAATAAACCCTGATTTGTAAATTAAATTACTTCAAGGTTTCCTCAGTCACATCTGTCCAACTCTAAGATGGTGCTGAAACCTTTCTGTACTGGCTCATTCCCAGTTGCCACCTATTCTGAGACAGAATCCTAGAAAACATAGATTGCACGAACTTTCCAGAGCTCTTGCCCAGCCCCTCTCCCTGTGCAGCTCTTAGGCCAACAATGAGAACAATCCATGGTTCTTTCAAAACCTTTCCTCAACTCTAAGTGTGCTTGAGAGAGAAATATTTGGATATCTGCTCCCATGGGAACTCAGCTCCATGCTTTGAGCTGAGTCACTTCCCTTAGAGTGGAGAAGTGGCAAGACTTCCAGAGACACCATAAGGTTTCTGTCTGGCAAAAGGGAAATACACTCAAAGGATGAGTCAGGCTGGAATAAATGAAATATTCCTTAGCACGGGGCTAAATCTGGATTTGGAGCTGTGGGCTTTCCAGCGTGGTTTGAGGCAGAATGGTCCCATTCCCCCAGGCTGGAGCTGGGCACGGTCTGTGGGGAGGGGAGGAGGAGCAAGCCAAAAAAAAAGAGATTGGGCGTGGTCTCGTGTGTTTGGAGTGTGCTGATGGGGAGTGAAGCACATTTTGGCAATGCTGAGAGTGTGGGGCCAGCTGGGTACACAGCCAGCAAGGGTCAGGCAGGGATTGCGCTGAGTGGAGCAGCACGATTTGGGAATCCAGATCTTTGGGTGCTGCTGAGAATCCCTGCCAAAACCCCCAAATTTGCCTTTGCTGCTCACACTCCCTGCCATCCCCCTGGTGGAAACTGTTCTCTGCTTGGGAAGGGGCTCAGGGAGGGTGGGAGGCTCACCAGTCCTGCTGCCCATGCCCATGTTTAGAAGGTTCTAAACATTAAATCAGGGAAGCGCAATTTGAAGTCTGCTGCTGCTCTGGAAGCGGAGTGGGAGTAGGGCAGGAAGAAATTTTGTGCATTGACACGTCTCCAGGTCTGGTCCCTGCCTCAATGATTAACTGGCTGTGCAGCAGGAGGCTGCCATGTGACAGCCAGATTGGTACCATTAAACTCCAATATTTGTATGGTGTTACAGTACTGAAGGAAAAGTGGAGGCATAGGGAACAATTAGTGTTGGATCCTTTGGCAGAGGCAGATTTTTCCATCACCACCTACAGTTCTGTCTCTTTGATGTGACTTGGGCTCTTCACTTGAGAAGTCTTTCCCTGCCCCTGATGCTGGGAAATGCAGCTGCTTCCCTTCTCTGGGGAGTGTGGGGTAACAGTATTTCCAAAGTGCTTTGAGATCTTGTGCAAAGAAGTGTTGCTGCAGGAACCACAGGTGTTGCTGACAGATTTCCTACTGTCAGCCCTGAAATCCTGGTGCTATCCCTGGGGGCTGAGGAAGGTCTTAGTCCTTAGGGATTAAGGATCCTTACCCTGGAAGGATTGTCCCATCCTGTGTGTGCTTGCCTGGGGTTGCCTCCAGACACAGAATGATACAGAATCCTCCTCTTCCTCCACACCATTCTGCCCAGGTTTTACCTCAAGTGCTCCAGCTTCATGCATTATTTTTTTTCTGGCTGGGGGAATGCACTAAACAGTTGTAGGGGTTGGAGTTAAGCCCCCCTGGCCAGCACCTCCCTGTCCTGTGTGTGCCTTCCTTTGGAGATCACAGGGACTTCCAAATGATGCCTTAAGTTTTAGCTTCCATATTTTCCAGATTCTGTCCTGCGTTGGTGTATAACTCTGAACTTCTTATAAAGTATTAGCAAGTTCAACTCACACTTTAGTCAGACAAAACAGACCTCTGTTCTAGGTAACCTCCCAAGGCATCACCACCATTCTCAGAGCTGTGGATGGTCAAACTGCCTCTGCCACATGATGGACACTGTGATTTCTCAGCTCTGCCTCACAGCACTGCCTTTGCAAGCACTGCTGGAGGTGGCAGGAGTTGTGTGGTGGAGTTTGGATCCAGCTGCTCCTGGAGCATCCAGGAGCCCTGCCCGCCCTTGCCAGTGAGCAGCTCCTGTCGCATCACAAGCGCCATCACCTGTAAAGAGCTGCCAGGGGTGTGTTGGAGTGAGTTTCACCAAGGCTGGCTGTGATCAGGAGGAGTTTCAGGTTAAACTGCACAGAAAAGCCCAAGTGACAGAAGTGAGGTTTGTGGGTGGGGACAGAATGCTGAGATGTGCAGGGATCTTTATTCCAGTGAAGGCTCTGCAGCCGCAGCAGGTGTTCCTCACCTGTTTGGAGTGAGTCAGCTCCAAGAGACTGGAACCGGTATTTCAGCCCCCTCCTTGCTCAGGGGCTGGCCCTGTGTCACCGTGACAGGCAGGCCCCAGCGGGACATGAAGTGGCCCAGGGGAGCAGGAGCTCGTACCTGCCAGTGGTGGCTGCTGGATCTCACACCTCAGGGTGCAAACCCTCCCTGCAGGCTCCTCCTATCCCACCTGCCATTCCCTACACAATTCCTGTGGTGTCTGGACGCTGGAGCAAAAGGTATCAGCTTGGCTCTATTTACAGCTCAGCAAATCCTGTCTTTCTAAACTTTTCCTTTCCCCTGCTCAAGCTGTGTCTCCTCCTCCTCCTCCTTTTCCATGTACTTTGCTCTGTGAGGGCTGGGCTCTGGCTGGGACACGCTGGCTCTTCCCGTGGCACAGACTGACTGCAATAATATTCCATGTTTTGGCGTGTCCCTCTGGAATGTGGGGGCGGTGGGAGCGGCTGTCCTGCAGCCTCCTCCCATCTCCCAAGAATGTGGCTCTGTGGAGCTTGGTGGGGTCCTCAGGGGCTTCAGCAAGTGTGTGGGGAGAATTGTTGGTGGAAAAGCCATGGGGAGAATGCTCTGTGCTGGAGCTGGTCGGTAATTTGGCATCTGTGCTCCAGAATAACCCGGTTAATGGGCACCATGGGGGCATGGAGGTACCTGGGTGTCAGCCCCAGGTTCTTCCACCTTCACAAGCATCACCCTGGTCCCTCCTCAGCTCAGACACATGCTGTCAGTCCTGCTGCTCTCAACTCAGCCCCCAAAACAGCAAATAAATTGCCTTTGAAATCTGTGTCCCCCATTCTCTGTCCCTGCAGTGAGGGGATGATAAATCCAGTGTCTGAAACAGAATTATCTCACTGGGAGAGGGAAGTGAAGACAGCACATGACAGTGATGGTGAAAGCATTTTTAAGTGGTCGCAAGGTGCTGTGAGGCAAATGAGGGATATCCAGGTCTACACATAAAGTCTGTGACTTCCTCAGAGTCATCCTGGCAGCTCTTGTGCCAAACCTCTGCTCCTGCGCAGGGCTCCCAAGGGGAACAAAGCTTTCACAACTGCTCTGTCCTGTGTGGGTGGCTGGAAGTCCCCTTTGCTCTTCCCAGAGGGATGGAGTTTGCCTTGACATGCTTCTAAAATGTCCCAAATGAGGAGGGAGATGCTGTCTACTCCCCACTTCCTTCCCAGGTGCCACCAGCTTTTGTGAGGTGCCCCCAGAGTGCTCAGGAGAGATGTGGGGTCAGGGCTGGAGTTATTGGGGGGCCCCACTGGAAATAGGGAGGGGGATGACTGACATCCCTCCTGGCTATGGAATCGTTCTCCACAGCACCCAGTGGGTCCCAGGGGGATACCTCACCCCCCAAAGAGGGGAAACAGGGACATCTCTCATTTTGAAACCACCTTTCTGTCCTCTGCCTGGTGCCTGCACTGTCCCCTTTGCCAATGCCTGGCAGGCGCCACTGGCTTCTGCAGAGTCATCAGACCCCGTGCTTAAAAGGAGAAGTGAGGGAGGGACATGTTGAAATCAGTTTTGTGACTATTTGTCCATCTCCATCCGAGAGATAAGAGTGTGGCCAGGCTGTGGCTTCAGGATCAAGACAAGAGGTAGGAGATAAACTACTATTAATGTTGCTGGAGGGTTATTTCCTAGCAGCTTTTCCTTTAGGGGGAAGATGATTCCCTATAAAGACAGTGATGATGCTTGTTCTTTGGAGATCTGTCTTCTCAGCAGCTATAACCCCATTCACAAGTGAACTGTGAACTTTATTTATACTGGGGACAGGTATAAAGGGTTTTCCTTTAGGATGACTTGTTTTGGAAAGGAATGTAAGGCTCCACTCCACATTGTGCAGATATATGTTGGTTATTTTGGGAGGCAGACTGACAGCGTGGGAAGCAGGGGCTGTTTTGTGGAATGCCAACCCCCTCCCTTTGTAAAGTCCTGCCTTGGATGTCTGGAATGTTTTGCAAGTTGTCTGCCAGTCTGAGGAACTTTATCAGGAGTTTATCAGAGTTTATCAGGATTGTCTCTACTAACCAGAAATCCTCGCTTATTCTGGAGCTCTTCTCTTATTGATTTCTGGACAAGGAGTAATTTGAGGTGCAAATACCAGAGCTCAGTGATTTTTGTCACTGGTATTTTGTGGAACAGGTGGCTGTTGGTAAAACCCGGGGGGAAAAAAAGATATTTGCTGCTTTTGAGACCTGATCACCAAAGAGCTCTCCCATGGCACACACAGAGGCTCAGATCCATGTGATCCCTGCACAGATTCCTTCCCCAGGACCGTGCTGGCCTCTGATGGGAGCTGGGTGCTCCCACCCTGCCAGGCTGTGCCTGAGCATTTCCTGTGGCCACTGCAGTGGCCAGCTGGGGAACTGCTGGGGAAAGTGCTTTTAAACAGACACTTCCACACTGCAGCTGAACTTTTGCTTTCTAAAGCCTGCACATCCCCAGCCTAGGCACCAGCTCCTGGCCAGAGGGTCACTGCCTGATGCCTAGCCATAGTTACAAATGGGTTTTATTTCTCCAGTGTTACAAGGAGGAAAGAAGTGGGTTTGAGGATTACTAAACCCTTTCAGCTGCTCTCTCTGTGCTGGTTGAGGCAAGAGACATCCTGACTGCTGTTAATTTTTGTTGGCAAGGAGCAGTGAAAGGTGTGAGCAGCTCCAGGATGCTGAGTCCATGTCCTGCCTTTACCTCTGGAGTTCCTCTTTGCAGAGCCAGATTTTGCTTTTACAATCAAAGCTAAAAGCAAAGATGCCAGCAGTGGTTTCCAAAGGCCATCATGCACTTTTCTCTAGTTCCCACTAACAACATTTTGCAAGGGAGCACAGAGCTGGTGTCCCAGATCAATAAACTGCATTTGTGTGTGTCATGGGACAGGAATCGGCTTCTCCACCACATCCCCTCCATCAGCAAGGGAGGAGATGCTTTTAAGCCATTTGCCCAAGGTGAGCCAATGAAAAAAGGATAAAGCCAAGGCTGAGGCTGGCAGAGCTGGGTAAGCACCTCTGAGAATTTCTGACAGTTACCAGAGCCCTCCTGACAGGGGAGAGAGCAGAAATGTAACAAGCAGCTTTTTGCAGACCTCAGAGGGACAAGGCTGAAAAACCTCAGGAGTGCATTTCAGCTTTTTGGTGTCTCACTGTATCTCTGGATTTTTATTGTGTAGATTATCTTGGCACCCCCCTACTCCTGGAAATTCAGTGTTTTTATGCTGTGCAGCCCCTCTTGGTCCCAGTCCTGTGCTGGATGTCCTGGATAAAGAAAATCTGCATCCCACATCAACCCCCTGCCTTTGCTCCCAACCCTTTTTCCATCTCCTGGTCCCACAACTTCAGGGAGCCCCTTTTGCCATTATAACCTCCTCTTACAGGGTTCCAGGGCAAAGGGAGGTTGTGTCTCTCTCAAAGCAATTAGAGCAGTGAAACCTGCCTCAATTAAAGGACTGGATGAGTGCAAGGCTGGAAGGGACTGGCTGCCTGCCCTCATCCTTTCACAGAGATGCTGCTGCCAGCATCCTCCTGCAGCCCAGCTTGGAGCCAGCATGCTGTGGGGCTCTGTGCTGATGGACTCTGATTCCTTCACTGGTATTAAGGAGACAAATTCTCCAGTGCAGTTTCCATGGTCATGGTTTCCTGTTTGGATTCAGCACAAATCCCAGAGTGCCTTCACAGTACCTCTGATCCCACTGTGGAGCCACTGCTGCCTGTGTTACATCTGAAACATCTTTTTCAATGGCTTTTGGACCATCCAGGGGTCAGGAAGGTGTGAGGAAGACAAAACCTGCCCTTGGGGAGTCACTGCCATGCTGCACAGGGCCTGTGGCAGTGACACCAAGCCCCAGCAGTGACACTGAGCACAGGCTGATGTCCTTGTCCTTCCCCAGGCTGTGGGTCAGGCTGCTGAGCAGAAAATGCTTGTGCAGCTCGACAGCTCCTCCAAAGCCCAGGCCGCTCTCAGCTGTGCCTGGAGACACAACAGACACCCAGCAGCAAACTGGATCTTCCCCTGGCATCTCCTGATGCCCAGCCAAGCCTTCCCCCACCCAGTTTGTTATCAGTGAGAGCATCCTGATAGGGATGTGCGAGGGGAGTGCTGCTCTGTGACAGGCCTGGCAAGCTGCAATCAGATAAAGTGTTTACAAAAATGAAAGCTGATGGTAAAGAACAAGCTTTCAGCGTCATTTCTTTCTGCTTTTTTTCTCAGTAACCAGCTCTTTTTGGACAGCCTGTTTGGGAAAAAGGTCACAGGCCCTTTCTCAGTGCTGTTCTTGGCTTTTCATTGCATCTGCTCTCAGCCCAACCTTGTGCAACTCTCCTGGGTGTTGCAAGGACTTCTCATGCTGCAGCTTTTGCATGGGGCTTCAAATCCCCTCCATCCCCCAGGGCTGAAGGCACCCCCTGCTTTCTGCACCCCCTGCCCCTGCTCTTGGCACCACGGATCCCAAAGACACATCAGAGCCCAGATCCTTGGTGTTGTCTCTGCTAATCCTCTCCATCACCCCTTCCCCTGCTGGGCTTTGCCTTCTCAGGACTATTTCTCTCCAATTCCTGGCTCATGAGTGATGGCAGGGGCTGGATGTGACACGTCCCACATGTGATGCCATGTGTGCCATGTGGAGCTGGTGGCAGTGGGTGCAGGGTTGGGGTGTCTGTGTCCCCGGGGTGCTCTGGCAGGAGCCCTGAGCGCGTTTCCGCTTCTCTGAAATGGCCACGCTCTGATAAGGGCTGTGGTTTCCTCCTGAGAGCGAGAGAGGCTGTGGGGGAGAACACAGCTCCAGGCAGAGCTGCAGCCCTGCCCCACACTCAGCCTCCCCCCGAGATGGATCCTGCTGCTGAGAGCCCCCCAGGGACCCTCCCCGGGGAGGAGAGCCCCGAGGTAGGTGGCTTTGAGCTTTTTGGAGGTGTGCTGGCACCAGGCAGGGTCAGGGGGGCTGTGCCCAGGGGACCCCAGGGGCAGCGCTGGGTGCTGGGGCAGTAAAAGGGAATGAGAGAAAGGGGAGTGAGGCTGGGGGTGCCCGAGAGATGGGGGTGCCATACCCGTGTAAATGGGCACCCCACGGGCTCAGCTGCAGCTCTGTGCCCCCGCTGAGGTCCCCTCTGGGCTCGGCTGTGGTTTCCCAGCACTTCCCAGCCTCTCTGGGCTCTCTGCTGCCGGCAGCTCCCCCAAAACCTGCTCCAGGCCATCCCAAAGCAACCAGCTTCCTCTGGGTCCCCACATCTGTCCCCGTGGGAAGGGACCCACAGCTCTGCCCAGGGCTGCTGGATGATCTGTCCTGCTTCTGGTCCCCACTCAGGGACTTGTCCTCCCTCCCCAGAGCCCCCGTCCCTGCTGCCTCCCCCCGCTGCAGCTGCTGGGGTGGGCTGATGCTGGTGGCTCTATCCAGACCTGGGTTTAAGCAACACTCCTGGACTGAGCTGGGTTCTTGGCATGAGGATTAGCAGCAGTGAACAGGCCCTGGTGGCTCAGCTCAGCTTTATCTTAACCAGTCCCCTGTGCACATGGGAGCAGACCCTGTGTCCAGGGCAGAATGGAACAGCAAGGAGCTGCCCCCAAAAGCAGCAGGGATTCCTCCCCCTGCCCTCCTGTGCTACCCCACTGCTGGGCAGGGCACAGATGCTTGTGTCTTGCGATAAACAACAGCAGCAGAGAAATAAAGTCCCTTTTCTGTCCCCTCTGCACTTGCAACCTTGCAATGGGGCAGCAATGGCTGTGGGGATGCTGAAAGATTTGGGATGGGGCCATGTCCCCCTTGCCTTGGCACAGGCAGGACAGTGCCAGCAGCAGCAGGAGGTGCCCCTGGGCAGGGGCAGGCTGGGACCCTCCGAAGTGCAACAGGTCCCCTTTTCACAGGGGGCTACTCAGCCACCAGAGCCCCCAGCAGCCACCAGTGGGTACAAGGAGAGATGTGGAAGGTGGGGGGAGCAGCTCAAGGGTTAAACTCGCCAGGGCTGGAAGGGTTGAATTCAGTCCAGATGGCCAGGGGATTATGCCAGCCCTAGATTTGCCATAAGCAAATGTTCAAGCTCAGGGCTGGTTTATTTTTTTCTGTTAGGGGTTCCTAAGGTCAATTTGGGGCCTGGGCTGACCCACAGGTAGGATTCATCCATCCATCCATCCATCCATCCATCCATCCATCCATCCCTACCAGCCCTGCATGAGCAGGTGCTGGGATCATGCTCTGCAGACTCCCCTCAGCCCAGAAAAGCCCAAACTCATTTTAAAAACTTCTATTACATATTTTGGTGTCAGCCCCTGGTGCTCCCAGAGGCTCCAGTGCCAGGACTGCTAACAGATGGCACAGGGACACTGGTCCCCTTCCTCTGGCGGTGTCACTGCTCAGATTCAATTCTTGTTTGGAAGGTCAGTGCTGTTGTTGGCCATCCTTCAAGTGGGGAATGAGCAGTGCACCCTTGCAGCTTTCAGAGATTTGTAGCAGTGCACCAAATCCTGATGGATTTTGGCATCTCCTTGCCCAGCCTGGAGCTCCTCACGGTGCTCTGGCCCCCTGCCCTGTCCCTCGGCTGCTTTGCTCTCCAGCCTGCTGGAGTGAGTGGCTCTGGGGGGTGAGAGGTGGGTGATTGGCTTTTAAAGCCTCCTGGGGGTCACCCCCAGCTGCTGCTGCCACCCTCGCAGCCCCCTCCTCAATTAATGGGGCTTGGGGGTGAAGTTCCCCATGCTGTCCTGCTGGTGGGCAATGGGGGACACTGTCCCTCGGCCCTGGGGTGTCTGTGGGGTGTCACAGCGTCCTTTGTCACATCCCACCCTCGTGCTGTGGGTGATGCTGCCCCATCCTGGCTGCCCTGCCCTGTCTGGCCACGATTTCCTCCTCAAACCACGCTCTTGATGGGAAACATCTCTTCTCTTCTCTCCCCAGATGGATCTGTCCCACCGGTTCTCCAAGGAAGAGGTCCGAGCGTGGCCCCACTGTGGTTTCCCTTGGTGGCACTGGAGGGGGTGGCAGTGCTGCAGGGCTTTGGGGACGTGGCTCAGCTCCTGGAGCTCCAGGACAGCCAGTGGTGGTGGGCAGGGCTGGGTGCAGGGGGTGGCAGGGCTGGCATGGGGCTGGGGGAGCTGTGAGGAGGAAATCCTGCTGATCCTGGGAGTGCACAGAGCATGTCCCTGCTGGCTGTCCCCACATGAGGTGTCAGCACTGTCCCCCCACAGCTGGCCCTGCTCTACCAGGAGGTTCTCTACACCATCCTGCACCGTCTGGGCAAGCCCAAGCAGCAGCACGTCGGGGATTCCCAGGAGCTCTACTCCTATGTGCAGAAGGTGTGTCCCCCAACAGGGTCCCCAAAACCTGTCCCCTGACATGTCCATCCTCCCACCTACAGAGGATGGTAGGGATTTGTTATGCCCCAGGCTCACAGAGTGAGTTTTTACAGGGGCTTTGATTCACTCTGGTGGTTCACAGGAGACCACAAAATCCTCAGGAGGCTGAATAACAAACTTTTACTTGCAAACTGGAGAATATTTATGTTGAATATGGTTGGGCTTTCCATGTGTTAGGGGCTTGGACTGGACCAGGGGCCAGGATGTGGAAATGCCCCATCCCACCTATGCAGAACTTGCCCTGACCCCCACCACACACAATTTCTCTCTGCTCCTTTGGAGCCAATAATCTTCCCTCTGGCCCCCTACAGGGTCATGCAGAGGAAGCTTTTAACAAACACCATGAAAGATGTAGCAGCAGCATCCAGCCAGAGGGCTGGGAGCATCCTGTGGTTGGGAGATACTAACCCTGGGGAGAAGTTTATCTTGGGGATGGTGGGAAGAAGGCTCTCCCTCTCTCCCTTGAGAGATTTCAGCTGGTCCCCACCCTTCCTGCTGGACTGTGCCGCTTTCCTCTCCCCTTGGGCTGGTTGCAGGGAGCAGAGGGAAGCCCCTGGCTGCTCTCCAGCCCCTGTTAACAGGGCAGCATCCATCACCAGCCCCAATATCCACACAGGCTTTTGGCATGGACGCGGAGGAGCACAGTGCGATCATGCAGCAGGTCATGGAGCTGGAGGTACAGTGTGCAGCTGGGCTGGTGCTGCGGGGCTGCAGTGCCTCTCAGCCCCTGTGACTGGGATTTGGGGTGCTCTGGCATTGTCACTGCTTGGGTGGGAGCTGATGGCAGGGTCCTGCTCTGACCCCATCCTTTCTTGCAGGGTTGAGCCTTCCTCATGGGGTTGGTGACCCCACACATTAATAGCTGTTTTTTCATTTTCCCAGAGCCCCATTTACTGCCTGAAAGCCACTGTGAAGGAAGCCAAGGGAATTTTGGGTAAAGATGTCAGCGGTAAGTGGAGATGTGTGGGTGTCCTGTGGGAAGAGGGGCAGCTGCTGCTCCCGAGTGGAATTCCCACACCTTCACCCTCACAGGGCTCAGTGACCCATACTGCCTGCTGGGCATCCAGGCCAGGGGCCAGGAACCAGCCCACCCTGACCACAAGAAGAGAACGAAGGCTGTGGTGAAGGACCTCATCCCCGAGGACCAAATCCATCGCACCCAAGTGATAAAACAGACCCTCAGTCCAGTGTGGAACGAGACCTTCATCCTGTAATCCCCCACCCCACCCCTTGGCTCTGCCCTCTGCGGGGATGCAGGGCATGGCCAGGCTCTCAGCTGTGGATGGGGGTTCACCACTCAAATGTTCCTCGAGTAACAAAATCCCCTGGTGCCTTGCAGGGAGTTTAAAGACGTGGAGACAGCCAGCTTCCACCTGGACATGTGGTGAGTGACCCCCACCCTGCCCCCAGGGTGTCCTGCCTCCTGGGATTCAATCTGCAGCTTTTTTAGAGGCCAGAAGCCAGCTGGGAACCCCTTTCCCCATCACTTTGTGTGGAGCAGTGCAGGATGTGACCTGTGCCAGCAGAGAAATCCCAGGCTGGCTGTGCCCAGGCCTGGTTTAGGCCTGGTCCTAAACCCTGGTTTCGGCCTGGTCCTAAACCCCGGTTTCATTTATGGAGAGAAGCCACGTGCTGACAGATTTGGGCTGGGTTTGGGGGTGGCCTCAGTCCTGCCACTTCCCTGTTCCTGTACTTTCCCTTCTCCATGTCATTGCAACTCTCTGCTCTGTTTTTCCATCGCCTGATTTCCCCCTTTCCCCGCTTTGCGCAGGGACTCGGACGTGGTGGAGTCGATGCGGCACAAGCTGGGGGAGCTGACGGACCTCCACGGCCTCAAAAGGTTGGTGCTGCTGTGGCCCCAGGGCTGCTCAGGAAATCTGGGCTAGAAAATGCTTATTTGCCTGCTGGATTATAAAAATCACCTTTGGACGGAGGAAAGGAGTGCGGCAGGTCTGTGTCACCCTGCTCCACAGCTGCAGGACACCTTCCCACCCCCTTTCGTCTGTTCCTTCCAGGATCTTTAAAGATGCTCGCAAAGACAAGGGGCAGGACGATTTCCTGGGGAACGTGGTGGTTCGGCTGAAGGTGAGTGCTGGGTGCCTGCCCTGCTCCAGGTTAAACCCCCGGCAGCCGGGCAGGGTCCCTTCCCTGCGGCAGCACAGCCAGGATCCCTCCAGAGCCACAAACTGACCTCAGCTCCCTCCCTGTGCCGCAGTCACCCCACCACAGTCACTGCACAGCCTGTGCTTTTAACCCTACACAGAATGTCCCTGCCCCATTAACGCCGCGGGATGAAGATCCCCTGGTCTCTGAATGAGATCCTCCTCCTGGGGAGGCTGCCCAGGGCTGCCCCTTTGTCCCTGTGTGCCTGCAGGACCTGCACTGCTGGAGTGACCAGTGGTACCAGCTGGAGCCACGGACAGAGACCTACCCCGAGCGGGGGCACTGCCACCTGCAGTTCCTACTCACGCACAAGAAGGTGGGATGGGATGTGGAAAGGGGTCCTTTCCCTTTGCCTGGGCAGGATGGGACAGCTGCCTGTCCCTTGGGGCTTGTCTGGGGCTCACAGGTGCCAGCACCAGGGTCTGCAGGTGCTGACCCTCCCCTGAGCTCTGTGCCAGCACCAGGACCCTGCTCCTGGGGCACCTGCAGCCCTTGGCTCTCCAGCCCCTCTTTTTGGGTGCTGTGTCTCCACTGTGACAGTGTCCCTGTGTGTCCAGGCAGGTGATGGCTCTCTCTGCCTTGTCTCTTTCCAGAGGGCCACCACGAGCAGCCGGACACAGCCGAGCTACACCGTCCACCGCCACCTCCTGCAGCAGCTGGTGTCCCACGAGATCCTCCAGCACCAGGTACCACCAGCACCAGGAGCAGCCCTCCAGCAGCTGGGCTGGGGGAGGGCTCCTTTGCAGCCCACACCCCGACACACTGATGGGAATGAGGGTCAGGATGATGCCTGGCATCCTTCCAGGGCTCCCACTCCTGCACATACACCCCCTCCCCACCCTGGTGCCTGTCCTCATTCTCCCTGTCGTGCTCCAGGACACATTGCCCTTCCCTTTTCCTCCTGGCAGGCCGGCAGCACGTCCTGGGATGGGGAGCTGAGCAGCCATGCCAGCACCGTGCTCTACCTGCACGCTACACAGAAGGACCTCTCTGACTTCCACCAGGACATGGCGTGAGTGCCCCGCACCCAGAGCACCCCGGTGCAGCACTCAGGGCCTTCCTGGGACCCTCTGCCACAGCTGGTCTGTCCCATGAGCTCAGGTGTTGTCCCCAGGACACCTGGGTGCCACCCCTGTGACCCCAGCTGTGACTGTGGCTGGCTTCTGTGCCCCCAGCCCCCGGGGGCTCAGCCCAGCCCTTCCTCCTCCCCAGGCAGTGGCTGGCCTACAGCAAACTCTACCAGAGCCTGGAGTTCAACAGCAGCTGCCTCCTCCACCAGATCACCAGCATCGAGTACCGGTGGGTGCAGGAGCGCCTGAAGCCAGAGCAGGTGAGGGGGCTCCAGCACCGCTGTGGGGCAGAGATCAGGGAAAGGTGTCCCAGGCACCCAGCCCAGAGCCTCTCCTCCCCTGGGAACCCTCCTGTGTTGCAAGAAGGGCAGGAGATTGTGGGGTACAGGGGTGCCAGGGTGTTGGAGGGCATTTCCCAGTGCTTTGTTCCCCCCTCTGTGGAGAACCCCTTACCCTTTGCACTGACATCCCCTCCCCCACCTCTGATCACAACCCCCTGCAAAACTTAAATATGACCCAATTTCTGCTTCTCACAGCCTTTTCAGCTTTTCCCAGAGCATCCCTGCACCCTGCTGAGACACTGAATTTTCCATGCATAGCAATGAGGTTTAAGCACAAAGCTCAGTTCAGTCCCTCCAGGGAGAAGCTACCAGAGACATCAGGGGGTTTTTTCCCATCCCTGGAGCAGGCTGGAAGGGAATGGGAGCACCAGGTGCCATGGTCCAGCCAGCATCTGCCTGTCACTGAGGAGGATAGTGCATGTTTCCTTTCTTCTCCCCAGAATGCAGAGCTGGCCGAGTCCTTCCAGTCCTTGCTGACCTACGGGGTCTCCCTCATCCGTAGGTTCCGCATCATTTTCCCCCTCTCTGTCCCGAGGTCCAAGGAGAGGCTCCAGTCCCTGCTCCGGTGAGTTGGTCACTGCTGCCAGCTGCATGTGGGGTCCTGTGGCTTGGCCACTGAGATGGACAAGCCCCTGAGCTTGAGCAAGACTCAGTGTGAACCCTTTGTCCCCATCTGGGCTGCTGTGACACTCATCCTGTGCCATCCCTCATCCTGGGCTCCCTGTGGCGGTTGTTGCTGGAAGGGAACGCTGTTTGGGCAGGGTCTGTGAGGGAAGGAGTGTTTGTTTCTCATGGCAGGTGCTGGGTTTCACTTGAGGTTCTCACTTTGCAGGGTCCTCGTCCAGATGTGCAAAACAAAAGCTTTCCATGAGCTGTGCACACCCAGCCCTGACCTCACCCAGATGGTCTCAACAGCTCTGAAGGTACTGGGGGTCTCACCCACCCCAATCCCTGCAAGGTGGGACCCTGTGGCTCTCCCTTTCCTTCCATCCCTGCCCAATGCCCACACCTCAACAAATCCACGTGGATCACCCTGGCATGGGAAATACCCACCCCTCTTCAACCTGGTGGTCCCTGCCTGTGGTTCTCACCTCACCCAGGGCACAGGGAGAGTGAAGGGGGTGACAGAGCTGGCTTTGCTCCTCCTGCTTCCCTGCCATCCCACCAGGACTCCTCTCTTGCAGTCAGGCACAACGGAGTGGTTTCACATGCAGAAGCAGCACCTCAAGCCCATGGTGAAGGTCAGTTCCCATCTCTGTCCCTCTGACATGATAAAGTCACCTCAAAATGTCTGAGCATCCAAAACAAGCTGTTCTTTCCTTTGCAGAGCATAGAGGAGAATAGCAAGGCCTTGTCCAAGCTCCTTCAGGAGGTGATAGAAGACCTCAAGCAGTGCCAAAAGATCTGGAATAAATTGTTCAGCACGTAGGTTTCAATGCTCAATCTCACCCCCATCCATCTTCCCTGGGATCAGGAGTGACAGGGCATTTTGATGCCTCATTCCTTGGCCCTTGGGCTGCACAGATGGGATCTTTGGTCCCATCTCTGCCCCTTGCAGCTGTGCTGTCCTCACCCAGGACACAGCCTGGCAGGCTTTGCTGGGCAGGCTTTGCTGGGCTGGGGTTGGCAGGCTCCTGACTCTGCATTTTTCTCTTGCAGCAACCTGAAGCTGAATATCTTCTCCATTGCCTACCTGGAGCTGGAGAGCCTGGTGAGCAAGCCTGGGCTGCTCTGCCCTCAGGGGACTAAAGCCTAAAGCCAGGCTGAGGTTTTTGGCCACCCTTCAGGTGGCACCTGCTTGTTGCAAGGCTGGAAGGGGAGCGAGAGAAACTCGCCCTCTCTCCCTGTGTGCCCATAGAGTGACTTTGGGGACTGTTTGACCCAACAAATCTCCTCAAATGCCACCCAAAAGGAAGAGGAGTCCCCTGAGCTGACCTTGCTCCAGAAGGAGCCTTCCTGGCCGGACCTCAGTGTGTGTCCCCTGCCCTTGCTCCCATCCAGGTTGCGGAGCACGTCCAGGAGCAGCTGCACGAGGTTGACAGCAGCATGTCCAGACCCACAGCCGAGAGCCTCTTCGATCTCTACAGGAAACTGCAGGAGCTCTGTCAGATGAGGGACTCCCTCCCAAACAGGTATGAGAGCTCTCTCCTCCTGAGAGAGGAGAGCTGCCAGAGGGAGGGATCGAGCAGTTAACTGAGAGGATCTCTGGATCCTTCCCACTCACCTACATCACTAATTGCACACCAGGCAGAGCAGGCTGTTGGTGTCAATGGGAGCATCACCAGGAGGGTTTTGGGCTCATCTCTGGGTGGGATTGGTGTGAGAGCAGAAGGGGTGATGGTCCTGTGCCGCTGCTGTGCAGCTGGAGAAGCCAGCACATCATCCATAGGGATGATGCCTTCATCCACAGGGATGGACCTCTGGCTCTGAGCAATTTCCACCAGTGGTTCGAGGAAGCGTTACCCCTGTGGCTGCAGAAGGCCTACACCACCACACTGGAGAGGGCTCAGAGAGCCATCCAGATGGACCAGGTAATGTGGGGAGGAGAAATCTCCCTCCTCCCTTTGGGACACTCCAGCTGTCCTCCATAGCTTGCTGCTGTGCCTGGCTCACAGCACTGAGACCACCACACAGGTGCCACTGGCAGCCCAGGAGCAGCCTGGCTCCTCTCCCAAAAGCATAAAAATATCTGTTTCCCTGGGCCAGGTGACCCCACCAACCTGGCCCCACACAGCGTCCCTGTGTCCCTGTCAGCCTGTGATCTGAGCACCCTGCATTTGGGCTATGCTGTGAGAATCCCCTTTGCTTCCAGTCTCCCTGAAGAGGGGAGGAAAGGCAGCCATGGGGCCACAGGCTGCCCTTCAGTGGGGTCCAGCAACACTGGGTGGGTGTATGGAGGGAAGCAGGGAGCTCGTGCTGCTCCATCCATCCTCATCTCCACTCTCCAAAGTGGTTGTGTGATGACATTGGGATCCAAGGAGCTGATGAGGGGCCAGAGAGCCCCAAAGAGAAGGAGCAGCTCTGCTCTCTGGGATGGCATCTCTCTGTACGAGCTGTGTTTGCCTTCTCTGCCCCTCAGCTGAAGCCTTTCGGGTATCACAAGCACAGCACATCCACCGTTGACCTGTCCACCTGCTACGCCCAGATCGTGACAACCTGGCAGCAGCTCAACTGGCCAGACCCTGAGAAAGCCTTCATGATCATGGTCAATCTCCTGGAGGTTTGTACACCTGGGCACCAGTATACCTGGATTTTCCTCCTCCTGCTCTTGAGGACGTGTCTCCATGAAGGAGCCGGTGCCCCACGGTGATGTGGTCCCCGTGATGCCTGGTTCAGTCCCGTTTGTTTCCTCTCTGTCCTGCAGGACATGTGCAAGATCTCCCTGATGTACTGCAAGCTCATCAAGGAGAGGGCCGAGGCTCTGTCGCTGAGCGAGCAGGACGAGGGCGAGGCGGCCAACAAGGTTGGTACTGGAACTTGTCCTGGTTGCTCCAGGAAGGGCAGGATTTGGCCCTGGTTTCTGGACAAAGAGGCAGCTGAGCTGCTGAGAACCCAGCTGACATCCCCAGTTTGAGTTCCACAGGGACCAGCTGGCCATGAAAAGCCATAATCTGGGAAAATCAGGAGGGAAATTATGTGAGCAGTGGGAGCAGGATGGGGATGGGGACACAGGTGAGGATGAAAATGAGAATGGAGATGGTGATGGGACTAGGGATGAGGATGGGGATGGAGATGGGAATAATGATGGGGATGGGGATGTGGGGTGCTCCAGGGAGTGTGGACCCTGGAGTAGACCCACCTCTCCCAGCTCTGCATCGTGGTGAACAACATTGAGCAGCTGCGGCTGCTGATGCTGAAGCTGCCGTCGCAGCTGGACTGGGCCCAGCTGGAGCAGCGCATGAGGGGCATCATCGACCCACAGCAGATCCAGAACGCTCTGCACAACCAACTCCACAGCACCGTGGCCTGCCTGGACCACGAGGTCCAGGACGTGGTGCAAGCTCTGGCTACCAAGGTGACCACCTGCCACTGATGGCCCCTTGGCCCTCACCCAGCCCAGAGCAGTCTCACCCAAGGTGTCCTGAAGCCCCTAATGCTCCTGGGATGGAGACAAGGTGGAGCTGGGCATGGGGAGGCTGGTGCAGAAGGCAAAGTCCAAGTCTCTTCCTGCATTTCTCCCTGGCAGCTGGAAAAGGGCATTGCCAGGCACATCCAGGAGCTCTCATCTTCCAGTGACACCCAGAAACCTGAGGATGTAAGTATCTGGTCCAGCCCCTCCTGGACCATCTTTTTTGGACAGCCATGGATAGCCTTTGCTTTCTTGGTGGGTGTCTCTGTCACCCTCCATCCCTGCTCCCTGCCCATGCCTGGGGCACAGGACACACCAGTGATGGGGCCCAGACCTCCACAGCCTGCACTTGATGCCCATGTCAGCAGCAGGACCTCAGCAGGCACAGCCTGCCTGTGTTCTGTGGGAAGGAGCCCCTCTGGGATCCTGCCTGGCCTGCTGTGTCCTGCTGGATACCCCCCCCTGCCCTCCCCAGTGCCCCTCTCCTCTCACTGCAGTCCATCATCCCACTCATGAAGTTCCTGGAGTCGGAGCTGCAGTACCTCAACGAGCACCTGGTCCAGGAGAACTTCAAAAGGTGACCAGGGCACTTGGGATGCACTGTGGCAGAGGCCACCAGTGTCACCATCTCTTGGGCAGGAGCATCCCCTCAGCTCCATGGGGTTTGGGTCCATCCCACTTTGGGGCTGGCAGGATGAGGCACTTCCTTCTGGGGCTTTGCAAAGCCCTTCAGCTGGAGACCATCCCCAAGCCCAGCCCCTGGATCCTGCTCACAACCTCCCTCTCCCCTGCAGCCTCCTCACTCTCCTGTGGCAGCACACCCTGTCCGTGCTCTCAGCAGCACAGGGGCCGCAGGTGCCCTCGTTCCAGCACTGCCAGAGGCTGTTCTGTGCCCTGAAGGTACCAAGGGGAAGCAGAGGGGTCCTTGGCAAGGACAGGGGTTTGGTTGGTGGCTGACAGCATCCTTGTCCCCAGAGCCTGGAGCTGTGCTTCCACGCTGAGGGCTGCGGGCTGCCGCTGGAGACCCTCCACAGTGCAGCCTTCCAGGTATGGAGACGGGGATGGGAGTCCCTGTGGGTTGCTTTGGGAGGAAGAGATGCCAGGGAGGACATCCCCGGGCTGTGGACCTGTCCGTGTGCTTGAGCATCATCTCACACCCTCCCACAGAGGCTGGAGTCTCACCTGGCTCTCTGCTCCGCCACCAGCCGCAAACTCATCCAGAAATACTTCAGCAACAGGATCCAGCAGCAGGTAGGAGTCTGGATGGTGCCCCCAGCCCCCTCCCACATCCCACCCTTGCCCACAGGCCCTGCCTGTGGAAATGTGGAATTTCCCCACCACCCTCCCAGTCCTGGGGCTGTTGGAGCAGGGTTTGCACAGTGTTGAACAGGAGGAGGCTCAATTCATCCCAGAGGATTCCAGCACACCCTGGTACCCCAAAATTCCTGCTGAGCCTCTGCCAGACCTTGTGCATCCCCTCCATGATGGGGATGAAGGACAGCACCTTTATCCTTGTACCCCACTGTCCAGCTGGACACCAGCTCAGAGAAGTACGGGGCCGTGACCATCAAAGCTCTGTACCGGCCTTCGGAGCAGAAACTCCGTGTGGAAGTGCTCAACGCCACCAACCTCATCCCGCTGGACTCTGACGGTGGGTGTGTGTGGGCAGGGGAGACACACTGCCCCACGGCCCCTGTCCCTGCTCCCCGTATGCCCCAGTCAGGAGAGATGCTGGCAACGCATGGACTCTCTCTTGATTTGCTTTTTTGTCCAAGGAGGTGGATTTGTGGGAACAGAGGGGTTATTGCAGTGGTCCTGGGTGCTGCGGTGGGATGTGGCAGGCAGGACTATGCAGGACCCACATCCCACTGTTTGTGGCACACGCCAGCAGCCAGGGCAGGCGGCTTTTCTTCATCATGCAAACCAGCCGCAGATAAAAAACCACTCCGGGGGTGAGCAGCGACCTTCTGCCGGTCGGGCTGTCGTTCGGGGAGCTCTCCAGGAGAGGTCACTCCTCCTGCAGCCGCCCCTGGCCGATGGCTGTGCGGCCAGGGCTAGGGATGTCCCCGCACCCCCCAGGAGCCCGGGGTTGCGGTGAGGATGCCCTGACCCCCCCCTGCAGCCACCCCGGTGTGTCCAAGCCCCCCCGGTTGGGTTCATCCGTGCAGAGGGGCCAGGGGAGGGGGCTGATGTCTGCACCCCACCAGGCTCCAGCGACCCCTTCGTGCAGCTCACCCTGGAGCCCCGGCACGCGTTCCCCGAGGTGGTGGCCCGGACCACCCAGTGCAAGAGGAACGAGCTGCACCCCCTCTTCGACGAAGCTTTCGACTTGTACGTAGGGGCTGACACCCCCCGGGCCCCCCCACTCCCCGCAGCCCCTCAGGCTTCAGCAGGGCCTCTGCCATGGGGCTGCTGCTCCAAGAGCCGGCTGTGCCCAGGGATTTCAGCCCCTGCACCCCAAAGAGCCGCGATGGTTCGGGGCTGTGCTGGGGCCCCGGGGGGCTCGGGTCGCTGTGGGGCTGTG